GAGCATTCATTCATAGTAGTGCTTACAGTAGTTTGATTGAGGCCACAGACATCTTGACAACCTGACTCTGTGTTCGCGCTCTACGGCTGGCCATGTAGTAACCGTGGATTATTTTCTCTGCTCCAGGACTAAGCTCCACCTGCAGACTCTGTGCTAGAGCTACTAGCTGGGAAGCATAGAATTAAGAACAGCAATTGCAATTTAAGGTCAATATAGAAACATAATGCAGTGTATTTTAAAATTGTAAAATTATAAAAAACAATGCAAAGTGGCTTTTTTAACCTCCTGGTAGTCTTGAGTAGAAAACTCCCAGCAGGATGAGTGGAGAGGTTGTTGCAGCTGTACTGCCTGCTGGAGGGTGTGGATGGTCTGGGCCAGTAGGGTCTGCTCTCCCACCATGTCCCTACACTGAATGACCAGGCCAAAGGCGTCTGCCAGCTGAACTGGTACGGGACCCATTTCCTGCTCACAAAGAGGAGACTGGCTATCAGAAAGCTGCCCAATGTGCTGTTTTCAAAATGTTAAGAGAATCCCCTTTTAAGTCAGAAAGTAACCTGAGATCTAAAGTATCTTCCATTTGACTACAGTTACACAGTTTATAGTTAACCTTTCCCCTGCTGAAGAAACAATACAATGCATTTATTTTCCTCTAGGGCTCTGTTGTGAGGTAAGTTGTCTGGGCAGGGCACTTCCTTCACGAAAAGTAAATTGTCTCAATTTCCTGTTTTGTCTGCACTATCTACAAACAACATCTGAGTTGAATGAAAAGTGCCACTTCTGGAACTGAGTGTACTGTACAGTACAAGTTCCACTAATATAAGACACTATAATTGTACAAAAATAATAGTTTTCAGTGCGCTATACAAAGGGACTACAACACCATGTTGTGACTGAACCCACTGCTGTTCCCAGTATGGCACAGTCTGCCCTCCCAGACCGTCGAGAGGCATCCGTGAGGGCCCAGAAGCTGCACTGGACTGGGAAGGAAAGGTGCTGGTCGGCATCCTCGCCATATTTCTTCCCTGGGATGAACACAGACACCGTGCAGCTCTCCAGAACTGAGAGAAGGGAAAGAACATCAAACTATACTGGCTTTTTATGTGTATTATTAAGTGTGTGGGAATTATCCATAATGTGAATTTCAGACAGAATCCTCTCCCTATAACTAATGCCATAACTCATTAAATACTTTGCTGCTCTACCTGACTGAATGGCATCCAACCTGTCCTTTTTGTAACAGCCCAGATCTCCCAACATGCAAATGCCACCAGTGGCTAGCAGGGCAGAGCCAGCATGGATGTTAGCAGTGCCTGCTCCGTGTTCGTCCCGGGACATGGATGCAAACATCTCCCCTGAGGCCTGATGCCTGACCCCACGACACGCCAAGCTCAGGCTGTATGTCATTAGTCTAGCACAAACACAGGAGTAATGGGTAATGAGGAGGATTAAATGTCAGGTTTCATATGCACGGTGTACACTCAGGATGTGCAAGGTTGGCTCATTCAGACCGATTTACCTGTCCACTATGAGAGTGTCAGTGGCGGCAACCAGGAGATCCAAGTTGTTAAATTTGTCTTTTGCATCTGCTCTAGTCTGCACCAAGCTCAGCAACAAGCCCAGCTTCAAGGTGTTGTAGAGGCCTGGAGGAGCCACGTCCGACCCAAAGCACTGAGCCACAATGGCAGAGAACCTCCAGGGAGAACCGGCGGTGGCCTTCAACAGCTCCTGGAAGCTGGCACTGACTTGAAGGGGATCTGTAGGTCGAGTTGTGCAACATGACAGATGTTTCAATATGGTAATGATGCATAATGTTGAATGTAAAATATGAAAATTGCTCAGATTAATCACAACACACGGTGTCATGATGTGGTAAACTACATAAATGTTATATATCTGGGATTTCTGTAGCAGGATTTGACATGAGATCATTTACTGCCTTACACTCTGGCTCCCACGGTCGGACACTGTTTGCCTCTACACTCCAGGTAATGCTGGGCCATTGGTGCACATGCGCGGGAATGCCTAACACCCTGTAGAGTCGTCCGATTCTCATTGAGTTACACAGCTCATCTGTGTGAATAGGTGAAACAAAGCAATAACACTGAAAGGGGTTTTTCTGTACTGCCTGGTGATTATTGAAGAAACATGCATGCCACATACAAGCCAGTGCCAAGAGAAACACAGAGTGAGGCCTTCAGAACAAAGATTTCTCTGTGTGCGAATTGCACAGCCAGCTAATGAGTGTTCCTTGCACTTATTAACATATATGTTTAGTAACGGGAACCCAGTGTATTGAATTCCTCTACAGGACTGGGTCAACAGAATATGTTAATCCTCGTGCTGAGATTTGCTAAGCTCTCAGGGGTACTGGCTGGACAATGTTATTAGAGGGGACAGAAACACTTAATATCCCACCATGAGGCGCTGTGTGCGGCTGGCTGCACAAAAATCTATTTATTTGAACTCTCCCCCACTAAGTTTGTGTTACAAAGTGAGCCTCATTTAGAAAGCCAGAGAAAATTAATGACAAACCTCAATACATCTGACTGTGTGTAAATATAAGCTGTTACAACCACATTATTCAGGACTGGGAGTGAATATAATGGATGAGAATATGATTTTACAAACAAATTATAACTTTTGAAATTTTGAGGCTATTAATCTACCATACATCTGCTTTAAGATTTTGACTTGCACATGAAAACGGATCCTTTTACACTAAAAAAAACCCTACTATTCATTTGTTCTGTGCTGTGTAAAGAAAAAAAAGGCAGAGTGCTTCACAGCTATGCAACAGAGTCTCTGAAGCTGGTCAGGTTTGATCAAGGACACTTCAGCAGAGTGGCTGCATCCTGACATGGATGCTGGACTCTTGAAACAGCTCCCTGGGTGATAGGACGGCCTCCATCCGTCTCCATATACCAACCATACCATATAGTATGTGACAGGGATGCATATTCATAGTCCACCGGAGGAAGAGCAACTATTTTGTGCTGTTTAGTTTAGAAACCGTAAAGGAAATGAGTCATTCTTGTGTGCTGCAGCTGCTTTCCAGATTGAAGAGTCTTGAAGACGCCAAAAAACACAAACAAATTCAAATGCTGTTTGAAAGAGCAGATCAGAAGTGAACTCTATGAAGGAATAGTTGCGCTCTGTAGTGTTTATGTTATCAATTTGTATTCTTTGTTGTTTTAAGATTAGGTTCCTCTGATGTGTGAGTCTGCTTTACAGTTACTGGTGTTGATTATGTGTTGTAATACATGCTGCTAGTGCACATTTTTCTTCACCAGCCATATTACTTACACCTCTCTCGTATGGTTCCTCTAACATTTTCTATGTTGCTATAAATCATTGCATTCATCAAATACATTTTTATCAATGAGTTACACCTACCTCTGAGAAACAGGGTGACTGACTGGTATCTGAGTGAGCTCTGTTGATGGGTACTTAGACCATCCAGTGCTTTCACATGGATCAGCTCCACAAGCTGTTTGTCTGCCTCCACAAAGACACATTTGCAAACATACAGATCACGGCAACGAACACAGTTTATCTTTAACCTCTTATACCCTGTAACTTTATTCAAACATCTCCGGTGACGTCTGACGTTCGGAGGCGTCACTCTCACCTCCCAGCACTCTAAACTTTACATCTTCTTTCAGCGGGGAGCTGCAGATCATGCAGCTGAAGTGGTTTCTCACAGTAGCTGACTCTGTGGCTCCAGGTGCATGGACACGAATGTGGTGAAAACCTAAAGTCAGCATCCGGGAAATTAAATCAAATATGAATCCAAGTTGAAGTCTATGAAGGCCACTTGCCTGAGAATTGCTTAAAGAATAACATTTTGTGCGTTTAGACTGACTGTGGTCCGTCTTTACAGTTAATACCACTGGACGCTAAGAGAAGTACCTGTAGAGCAGGGACAGTCGTCATTAATGCAGAGGAACCTGGCCCCCTGGGTGTATTTCGTGACCCTCGTCATGGCGATGACCAGGCCCTCCATGGATACCGGTCTCATCAGGCCATACCCACGAGGAAAACTACACAGGTCCAACATGTACTCAGGGAACGGAGGCAGGTGTGTCAACTTCAGTATTACATTAACCTCAAAAGGAGCAATCAGATGACACGTTGTTACATGGCAATCGATGTACTTGTTCCAATCAGGTGCATACATTTAGTATTTATGGGACTCATGGCTTTTGAGCGGCACACATTTTGTAAGCAGTTTCCAAGGGGAAGAAACACCTACACCATTTCTTCATACCTGACTCTCTGTGTGTATTTTTTCAACAAGTGAAAGTGTCTTTATGGCCAAGAAGCAAACCTGAATGAGGAATTAGGCAAATGTGGTCAACCACACAGTAGTTACACGTTTATTATTTCATTTTAGCTAACTTTGCTGACTCAGCTTTACTTACAGACTGAAACAGTGCGGTTGCCTTTAAGGGATCATGCAGAACACAGTCCCCCAATACAGGATCCACCTCTATCACATCGGAGGGATTCACACTGATACAAAACCTGTACACTGCCTCAGTCTGTTGGGGGTCTGGCACAGAGGGAGCAACACGTATTAAAGCTGCCACATTACCTTAAATGTAGGTTAATTCAATGATTTTAACTTTCATGGCTACTATGGTGAAGTAAGATAATTTGCGCTAACAGCTAGTGTTTGATTTCCACACTGCAGGCCTACCGTTGAACGGCTTGCAGTCTTCCTCCAGTGACTGAAGGCCACCGCTTCTGTCTAAATATACCAGAACTGATTCTTTCAACGATAAAATGTCGGACATTTTCAGAAAACAGCGGTTGGTCAGAAGCTAACCTGATGACGTTCAACGGCAGTCTTTTACGTTTACAAGTTGGCGCGCTACCACGTTGCCACGGTGACCACCCAGTCAGCAGCGCCGCAGGAAGGACCAGGATGAGACGTTAAATTAAAGTTAAAACAAGTTATACACGGCTAAAGTAATATATATATATCTATATATATATATATTCCTACTATAAAATACACATACACTCTCAAGAGTACCTTTCTTTGATATTTTTTATTACTGTGCAGGAGTAAAAGGCCTACTTAGTTGCCAGGCGAAGCAAAGCATTGTGGGTTTCTAATTTCTGCAAATGAGTTAAGGCAAAAAATAAACACAAACAATCCAATAAAAAAAAAAAACAACTCAAAGAAAAACTGAAAGGTAACTTAAGACGTAGAAGACTTTTTTAATATACAAATGTGACCTATAAACCATGATGCTTTATTCAGTGGTCTCTCAAGTAATCCCTATTTCCAGCTTAGATCAAATGTATGATACATGAGTTTATTTGTACAGTAATTACATGGACAGTGAATTCTTTCAAGTTTTTCAGAAAACTGCTTATTGATTTCATTTAAGGGACAAATTTAAGGCTTTATAAAGGCTCTTTTGAAACCACCAGAAATTATATTAATAGAGGATGTCTGTCCTTAATTCTTAAAAATATCATCTCTTATGTATATATATTTATATAAATACAAATTGGTAAAATATAAAGACTTTTCTGGCACACTGTTCAAACCAAAATCTGTTGTAAGTGCTGTTTCTTCTCAGCTGCTTGCTTTGGCTTCACAGAACAAGTTCATCCATGGTAGAAATTCTTCCCTTTAGTCAAAAGTCGTTAAGATGGTTAAGGCAGTTAAAGACCTCATTGGGAATGTTTCATAGGAAGGAGTCATCAGAAGGTGGGGCGTAAGAGAAGCCCACAAAGGCATCGTCTGCCTCCATTACACTGGCGTTGACTATGGAATGATCTTGAGACCAGCAGACAGAGTTGGGGACCATCTCATCTGTGAACTCAGGATCGAAGTTTGAGATGTCGCAGTAAGAGCTCTATAAAAACACAAGGAATAAAAACAGAGGTAGCATTAGCATTTATGGAACAAATACAAAACAAAATGCATGTATGTGTTCATAAAAGGGACTTCATTTGGTGACACAGAACAGAACAATCAAGTTACAACACTTATCTTGATTTAGAAAACATTTAGTCTATAAAAATGCATTTATGAGGTAGTTTAAAATAAAGTACTTAATTAGACGAGTTATTCTTTATCGAGTTATTCATCAATATCAGAGAGGTATTCATTCAAGTCCAGGGTAATAGAATTTGTGAGTCTATTATATTGAATCAAGTTCGACTGTACAGGTGCACTTAATAAGCCTTTCACACATATTTTACATTGTTCTGTGTCTATGGAACAGCCAAAATTACTCTATCCAAGAACCTCAATTCACAGCAGATGAGGACATCTGTAACAGACTAGGAGTTAGAACTAGCCTTACTTTAATATGAATAGTCGCTGCCACCCACATAGGAGTTTTTCGGTTATTCAGATTGACTGAAAACAGTAAAATTGTCTCTCTTTGTTAAAAATCTCCTACAACACATTTTGATACTCAGCTTTGAATACTAACTTGTGGCGGACATGTTAAACATGATAAAATACAATGTATAACCTTTTATAAGTCTGTAATCTTCTGATTCTTCTGATTACTGGGCGAGAAACAAATATTTACCACATTGGGTGTAAATGGGGGAGGGATCTTCTTCTGTACAAGGTCATCCCAGTTGATGGAGGAGAAGAAGCTGTGTGCTTTGATCTCATTCTGAAAATGTACAACAAATAACAACATGATTTTGTGTTTACAGAAAGTAAAAATCATCAATGAGTGTACATGTCGCAGTAGTGACATGATTTATACAGATTGGCCACCAGAGGGAGCCCAGAAATAGGAAATTCTGCTGTACATATAGTATCTGTATGTGGACATGCTAATGCATTGAATATTCCCACTCACAAAGTCATCCCTAGACCCCAGTCTGTGTGGGCCATCTTTCTCCAGCAGGCCCTGGAGGAGAGACCACGCTGTGCTGGACGCACCAGGGCGCATCGCCAACGGCTTGTGGAGGATGTTGTCATACATTTCGTGTGTGTCCCTGCTGTAGAATGGCGGCTAGGATGTGAAAGGAAAGAGAAGTGGAGGCATTTAACTGAGCGTGACTTTACAAAGAGGTGCTTTTTTACATTTTGTACTAAAACAATTTGTCAAATTTGGTGCAGTTTACCAGTACATCATGTTAAAATTACAAAGTAAGCAAAAGTAGAGTAAAAGACTCCCTACCAAAGAAAAACACAAAAAAAATCACTGTCAACTATGGGCTCAAAGTAAAAACTCACCAGACCAAAGAGCATTTCATACAGCACTGAACCCAGACACCACCAATCTACTGTGTTATCATACGGCTGCTTCCTTAGGACCTCTGGAGCTAAATACTGGTCGGAATAAGCACACAAACATAATAATATAACATTAACTTTGACATTTTTCTCTACTTCCTGGTTTAAAAAACACAGACAAAATGTATATCAACTACTATTTTTGCTCATGAAAACCTATTTTCCTCTCTGGAAAATGTGAGTCATACACACACATACAGCAGTATAGCTCCTAGATGGAATACACTAATGATGTAAAATTATTAACCACACTTTATTCCAAAAGGTCTGTTAATGATTATTACTTTTTGACACTGAAGGTGAGACTTCTTTGGAGCACCCTCAGACATCAAATCAGACATCAAAATGAATGCTGCCATACCTCAGGTGTTCCACAAAATGTAGTGGTGGTGTCTGTCTGGGAAATGCCTTCCTTGCACAATCCAAAGTCTGTCAAAATGATATGCCCCTTTAAAGAGAGGACACAGAGACGTTTTTAGACAACATGTGCCACACAAGCAGCTCATTATCCCCGGGGACTGAGGTTTCTATTGTTGCCCTGGAATGCTGGCTGCGGCGAAGCTCAGTCAGTCCCATTCACCGTTCCCTCATTTTCTCAATAAGGCTACGCAGGAAAATCATTAGTAAGAACTAATCCAATCACACGCATTCTGTCCAGCTGGAACTGGAAATGACACTGTTGTTCACTGGTGGTACAAATAATGACTGGAAAAGAATGACATTTGTACTGTATCTCTTATGGGCTTATGTAATGTTTAGTCACTGTAGTTCCATACACTTGACAGTAAGTATTGTGTTGTATTAATATTCACCATGGAAAAATGAGGTGGTGTGCCACCCAGGTACTGTATATTTAGTGTAATTGTTTGACTATTACACAGCAGTGTGCTTGGTTAAAAAACAGGAATACTCACCTCATGGTCAAGGAGAATGTTTTCTGGCTTCAAGTCTCTGGACAAAATGAAAACGAATGAATTTAAGTAAATAAGACATGTTTCATTATTCATTTAACAATTAAAATGTACATTTCTGTACATTGTATAGACTTATATTAATATCTAAATGCTGATTCAAATACGTCTCTACAATCCCAGGATCAGGTGTACAAATCTGGCAAAATAATTTGCGAGGAACTGTAGAAGATACTTTTGTTTTCAGGCCGTTAAAACCCAAAAATTCCCCAAAACAAACAAAAAATGGTAGCAATTGCCCTGAAGGTCATATGAATGAGGACAACATGTATCCAACACACACGTTAAAGTCATTTTATCTCTACACTGTTAACTTCATCGGTCTGATTTAGTAAATATGTGTATAGAGCTGAGTGACATATTTTAGTTTGATCCTTATTCTAGCTAATGTGATTCTAATTCAATAACCCTTTTTTTTAACTAACTTGTTATTCCAGCTAATCCAGCCAGTTGTGTAACATCAGGTAACGTTAAATTACATGCCCACAGACTTTCAGCTTACTTTCTAATTGGCAACATATGCTATTGTTGTGATGTTAGCTATAGTAGCATGTGTGCTGGCTCTGGGAAACCATCTCGTCCTCTCCAAATGTTCGCCGCTGAGATTGTAGCAGGTTTGCTAACCCATAACATAGCTAACATTAACTACATTACTTGCTGTGTCATTGTTTGCACTATATCATGGTATTTGTCATGATATTCATCCAGAATCACTAATAAAAACCCCCAACATACCTGTAAACAATGTTGAGAGAGTGCAGATATCCCAGTGCACTTGCCATTTCAGCAATGTAGAATTTTGCTCTGGGCTCTGGAAAGGTCCGCTCTCTTTGAAGATGGAAAAAAAGCTGAAATGAAAATGTTCCATTTGATTATTAGAATGAATGACATATAACTCATTTTGTTTAAATTGTATTAATTATATTAAGGCTTAAAGTAACACATAATTATGGGAACGGTTCTTCAGACACTTATGGGTGACGTCCATTTTTATTTATAGTCTATGCTAGCAGTGCCTTTAGCATTCCTCGTGTATAATACTTACTTTTTTAATCTTAATACAAATAACTAACTGAAAAGTGTAAATATTGATCTTATTTTATTTACATGATACTGGTCTTTGAAGTTAACTTCTTCAGAGGGGCAAGAGGCAGATTTACTTGGATACAGACTGTAATTAGTCACTCTTACACTCACACACACACGGCAGCTTTAAAAAGGCACATCACACTTAAAGGAGATTCATAGAGGAAGTCACACTAAGGAGCCATTCTGAGTAATGTCGTGATCTCTCATAAGACTTTCACACATGGAGGTGTGTTAACTAGCAACAGTCAATGCAGTTCTGAGGAATTTTAATAAAGCTGTTTAACACATTTTTCCTGTGTTACTTCCAATGTCAGCTGTTCTTAACCTAGTGACTCATATCTGTGTGAGCACATTTATTCACAAAACTGAAACAACTTACTTCTCCTCCATTGACGAAATCAAGGACGAAGTATAACTTGTCTGTGGTCTGGAATGAATAATGAAGCCCAACCAGGAAAGGGTGTTTCACATTCTTCAGCAGCACGTTGCGCTCTGCCATGATGTGTTTTTGCTGATTGAAAGAAGTGATTTAGTAGAAGAATCATAATTCATATATACATGCCTGAAATATGGAGAGGGTTGGGGTCATATTTGAAAATAAAGTTACCTCTTTTCTGTTGAGAATGACCCTTTTCTGTAAGACCTTGACTGCATAATACTTTTCATCATGTTTTCGTTTTGCAAGAAAAACCTGCATCACAAGAACGAGAAAGCACGTTGAGCGTTGCAGAGTAAACCCGAGTCATTCCGGATCTGACTCTCACTTCCCACATGGAAAGGCCGACACATGCAGAACTAAAACTTGTTGCTACCCCCAGAGAAAAACAACACAGAAACACTTCAAGATGTTTCTAAACACAACTCATGCAACTCAAGTATGACAAAAATCAGTCAGCACAATTCTACAAAGTTGATTCATAAAATTATTACACTGAAGAAAAAAAACGTATCCATAAATTCAACGTGTACCCCTGAGAATTCTCACTCTAGCATGAATAGAAAGCAACTGCACTCTACAGTATTGTATTGTTACACATACCTTCCCAAAACTGCCCTTTCCTATGACTTTTAAAAAGTCAAAGTCTGTTGGCTTGGCACTGAAACAAACAAACAATAGAGCTCATTCATTTCACTGATGTAAAAAGGTACTGTACATGATTCACAACTTCAAAGTTTAAAACGGTTACTGACAAAAACAAAGGCAGCCTGCTTTGTGGCAAAGCAAAGGATTTTCTTAAAGAGCATATGAGTAGAGAACATACTGTGGATTTCCAGAGGGTCCCAGGTTAATGTTTCTGGAGGTAGAGTTGTTCTGTTAAGAAGCAGAGAAAACATTATCTAGGTTAGCCGTTAACGTCTCAGTATAGGCTGAAACTAAGACACAGTCAACACTGATTCACTGCTGCGATCAGAGAATTCACTCCTTTATTGACGCTACAATAATGACATAAGGGAAATTTGTTGATTTTCAGTATTTATTTTAAGTCTAGATAGACTCTCTTTGGGATACAGAGCTGAAACTTTCTGGCACAGCTTGGACATTACAAAAACAGAGGAGGAGGACCTAACCACTATATTTGGACTATCCAACACATCAAATGAAAATACGTAAAGAAAAACAGCAACTGATGCATGACAGCTTGTTGATCCACAACTTACTTTGTCATCTTCATCCTCAGAGGCATCGGATAAGTGTTGCATTTTGTCCATCTGTAGAAAGGTCCTCACATCTGGACTGTAAAGGTTAAGAGGGACCAAACAGTTCATTAAAATAAGTTAAGTAATACATAGCTAACTAACTATAATTGTATTCTAAATCTAATTCATGCTAAGTGTGAAGCATAGCCAAATAAATTTGATCTCATTAGATTTCTGGATTCAGATCTTTGAAGCCATTCATTTTAATAATGCCAGCAATGTAATGTAATATAATGACAGTGAGAACACTTACTGGTTGCAAAGCTGAGGATGGGAGACGATTCGCTTGATGAACTCATGCAATCCTGCTCTTCTTTGCTTGATGAACTCTATTTGGCAGACGCATATATTACAAATCAAACATTAGGCAAATAATATGCATCAAGAAAAAAAACTGAAATTTTCTTTCAACATCAGCTACTGGGATTCTGTCTTGATGCACATTGGATATGCCAGCCTAGCGTGAACACTTACCGGGTTCAAAATTGTCCCCAAATATCCTCTTGGCAGGAATTTTTAAGTTCAAAGATGGAAACTGTTTCCTTAACTGCATTAAAATATATGAAAGAGCAAAAGAGAAAATTGCGTTAAGGGCAAGGAAACGTCTATGTCACGAGTATATAATTATTGTAAATGTCATTGTGAACTGCAAATCAAAGACTAAGGGAATCAAAGACTTGTGAACAGAATTATGGCAACGTGTTAGGCATCGCTATGGTGTAAAATCAGAATGACGTGCCACCACTCACTGTGTTGTAAAGTTTATCAAACTCTGCATAACGCCTGAAGACAAACCATTCCTGCTGTCCAACATTGACTATCACTTTGTAAACCTAAAAAAAAAAAGGCAAAAAGAGTCCATGTAAACACGAGGCGTAGTATCAAACACTTATATGGTCAATAAATGTGATTTTATGCTCCTTTTATAATAGATAAATAATAATGTGTATATACACTTGGTGCCTGACAACCAAATATGAAATGACCTTTGTACAATTCATTTTACTCAGAAACTGAACAATGGACAGGTTTTTTTGCACGCACTGTGAAACGCTTTTTCTTGTCCCTCTGCTCGTTGTGGCAGGGTATGCTGACATTGGGGAGACTGGGTTGCTCCTCCATCTTAGAAGCTGTCGGCATTCAAAGGTGCAAGGCCATAAAATGATGCGTCCTCCTCAGAATAAGACTTCAAGTATACAACTGGCCCATCCCCATCCTGGGTCACTGCTGCGGAGGAGAAAAGAGAACAGACACCTCTGTTATTCAGGAAGTGAAACTGCTCTCTACACGTTTCGGTCTGCAGTGGTCATGTTGCCTACTCCTGATATGATCAACGTTAATCCCCAACCACAACTTTGTACGCAGTTATTTATTTATTAATTCCATTCTTCAGTACTGTTTTGTATTTCTTTGATGTTTAAGCCGTAACAAAGCCCTGTTCATTCTTGATCATGGACAAGAGCTGCTAATAAGCCTTAAACTATTATATTAGTTCATCCATCAGCCTATCCCTCTATTTTCTCACTAGTTATGCAGGGAGCATATATCGCAGTGGGATTTTTCAAGCTGTGTCTGAAATACCGCTTGGCCACCAGTTGCTTGCCCGTGCAGGTATCAAACATGACGGCGTCCCTATTCCGAGTTATGTTCTTAATAAACCTATTTGTGTGGTTTGCAACTATTTATAGTGTCATGTTTGTCTAAATACTCTAGCAGAGGTGTTTTAACTCAAAAGAAGAACAAAGCACTTTTATCTTTTATTTATGGAGTGCAAACGGACTGATTTAAACGTGCTGCCAATGAACATTTAGCAAAAACAGCAACTACTGGTGGAAAACATACAACATACATTTTGCCTTTAAAAGCATTGCTGGGTGAAAAACCGTGCTGCGTTTTCTTGAAGGATGAAGACTGTAGCGACAGTGCACAGGCCAGCGAGCTGCAACATGACAGCAGGCGGGCTCCCTCCCCCTGAGCAGCCAGTTAACTCACTCCTTCCTCTGAGCATGAATATCCCATCCTCCCTCTCATCTGAGTCCGACGCTTAAATAGATAAATATGACAAGATCGCTCACTGGTTAATGACTTTTTTTCCCGCTCATAATGGTGCTATCAATCTGCCTCACATGAGAATTACAAGCCTCTATCTGTGCAGTCTCTTCCTCGTGCATTCATGTCACACATAACTTAACGTGAAGCCTTCACACACACACACACACACACACACACTGGCACACACCAGCTCTCTTACACATGCTGGGTCTGTGACATTCTCCCCTGTTCCGGTCAGTAGAAAGGTATTTTTAAATAACCTTCCTTTGAAGCTGGAGTTACACAATAGGTTAAGAGTAAGACCCCCGGAGTTGTTCTTCCCCAACATTTTAAGAGGGAAATAAAAGCTCAGTGTTCAAGTGTAATACTCCTTTCCTTTCCTTGACTGTAGTAACAAAAAGGTCAAGACCTCAGTTCCCTGAAGGCGAAGAAGGGGGGCAATGTTCATTAATATTGCAAAGAGAGTCTAACAGGTGAATGATGATCAGTTGTAATAGATAGAGGACATGATATAAAACTAGAATGTGTCACTGTGTGATCTGACTAAATCACACACAAAGAGGCAAATCTCTTTTCCTTCACTATGAGTTATGCAACGTCCATTTCTTTTACAACAAAGCTCTTTGTCCACTGCTCTGACTTGTCCATTGTTTAATGTTAGTGACATCAGCCCGCTTTGTTCAGTTAGCTTTTGTCTTTCCAACCACAACCTTTGTTACTCTCACTGCTGTTTGCTCACAGCACATGGAAAACCTGCTTTTGGGTCAACTTTCTCCGTCGGTGTATTGATCTTGAATGCATCCTGAAGGGATTATCTCATTCCGCTCACGTTGGGGTGAGGGTACAGCAAAAGAGCGGCCCTCTTTAAAATGCATGTGTGCAATCGGAGGGACCTTCATGCCCTCTTCATCACTGGCCTCTTTTTTTTCTTTCTATATTGTTCCTACGTTTGCTTTTCTTTTAGTTTCATTTCACCACCAACAGCATGAACACACCGATAACGTTTCTCTTTACGACAACTGTCGCTACTTTTATTCTGAAACAGTTCCAAATAAAACAACAGCTGTAACTCACGATATATATTTTTGTCTGTATTTTCTCAATTGATCAATAACTTGTTTAGTCTGTGAATATTTTGTCGGTCGACTAATCGATCAAAACCCAATCATTGTGGGAAATCAACACCGGCTACATGCAGGTGACACATTTTGGCGGTGACGACCAGGTTTTATTATATTTATATTTCATTGCTTTTCGAACGCGCCTATTAAATAAAGAGAGCTGGTGAAGTCCGTGCAGTGGCTGGTACACACAAAAACGGTCGGCTATTTCCCAGAGCTGCCTCACATCTGTGCATGTTTGGGTTAACTCTGTACGTCACTGGGTAGGACCCGCTTTTTAACATTCCAGAAATATTTGAGTTCAAGGGAAATATAAGCTATGGTCTTCTAGTACACTTTTCATTTTTAGCTGACACTGTTTCTCCTTTATAAGGAATGCTGCAGCTCACCACACCCACTGACAGACATTGTTTAAATTGTTAGAAGGATGAAAAAGCACACACAATAAACATTAATGTTAAGCACATTTCCTAGCTGCAGTGTAAGCCCAGCATGCCCTGTGTGTTCACACCACAACATGAATTAACTTGTGCTGACAGGCCCAAATACGCTGGACTACTACAGGGAATCAAAAATAGCTTCTTCCTGCTTAGCTCAAACACACACCCCTGCCTGTGGATATCCTATGAGGATGTTAGAGCATGTTTTTTTTTCTTCTGTGCGTGTGGTTGTGCATCGTGTGTGACAAGCAATTTTAGCCAGACAAACAAGGCAGAAGTCACCCTACAGTGGTAAATGCGATGTGAAAGCTCAATCAGGCATGCATCCACTGATAAACACAGAAACACAGAAATGGTTGGTGGAGATAACCACACCAAGACCTGAAACAGGAAGAAAACCTCATTTAGAAGAACTGTGAAGTATAATTATTATGTTGAACAGGTACTTTTAACTACATAAACACAAATGAATGTATTAAATTCTCTGTTTAGATTCACTTAAAATGTAAAACTTTCACAATACACATGTAGATTACATCTGTTTCGTGTGGGATGACACTGATAACATAAACATTGTTCTGGTCTAGAGGTGTCTCATTATAATGCAACAGACACAGATCTCTGATTGAGGAAGTGCAGCTGGAGAAGCGTGAGGGGCATGAACTCAGTCAACCCCAGTACGTGCAACCGTCTTTAGCATCTGGACAAATTCCTAACCTAACCTGACCGTCCAGACAGCTCACAGACCTTCACTGTCTGCAAACTGTGGCACGGACTTCCTTCTAGAAAAAGGTCTGAATCAGCTCGTGCGCTGACAAAATGCAGACTGAGATCATGGGGTGTTAGATGGTCGAGCAGGACAAGCCTAAGCCACTTGCACATGAGGCTGGTCGTGGTGGTGTGGAGCTCTCAAATAGTGTGGCGCGTACACCTATGACATGCATCTTGCTGTCTTACATGGCTTGGAAAAAACATGCTCATAATAACCACCTGTTGGATCAAAGAACCAGCTGTGAACCTCCTCAGCTCGTGACAAATGGAAAGTAGGCAGATTTCCACACAGAGAAAGGATTGTCAAGAAGAGCAACTTTCCTGTCACCACAAATGTGTCGATAACTTGGTTTTAGCACCACAGGAGGACAAATATTCATTAAAAAAAACATCATCCAACTTGGTTGTGTGCCACTGTCCATACCACACAGCTCAAACGACATCCAGTGTGGTTTCGTTTCGACAGCCGATGAGGCCTGACACATCATTTCTACATTCAGAGAACAATTACATGGAGGTGGACAACATGTCCCAGGAACACAGCAGTGAAAAGGCCTCGCCTACTTGTGTTTACTTTTGGCTGAGCCGTTTGGAAACTACACAGCGGTTTCCACCTGAGGCTGTGTGTGTACTTACACCGGTACAACTTTTAAATCTCAGTACATATCACGTGTATTACAGGAAAAAAAAAAAAGTATATAATCTTCACCAGGCGAGAGGAGGAGAACAAACTGAGCCTGAGGAGGGAGGAGTTGAACACACACAATCAAATACCGACACGCACATACACACATGAGATAAAAAGGTTTGACAAGATAATACAAAACTGTAAACAATACAGCAAAAGCTCACAATCGCACATAAGCAAAAGCAGCTCCCTTAACTTTGTTTACATTGTTTTCCTTCGGTTGAACTTCTGGCTGGTGTTTTTCTACCAACAGAAAACGTTAATGGTATTTAATACCGGACAGCTACCCCTCTACTATTGACTACAAACAACGTTTTGGGACTGACTGAGGGAGTTTCGTATCCTGTGTCAGATATTACCCCACCGCTAACCAAAGAACCAAAGCAGAACGAGGGACAAGGTAACGTCTACGTGAACATCACGTACCTTACAGTATCTCGACGCGGTGTTCATCTATTTCCGTAGGTCCAGTGGGGATATTTGGTTCTACAGCATTCAAACTGTCAGTACATTTAACATTTCCCCGGTTTCGCTTGAGTCAAAAGTCCCCAAATAGCCCTCAGACTCAGAGTGTATCCCCTCAGTGCCCGTACGCGGACAGAGGAGCAGGAAACATCAGTCTTTCCTGGCCGTAGAAAGTTCCAATGAAATTCGTCACGGGACTCAACAACTGCAGCCGCTGAACAGCTGCACTGAACACAGGGACACTTCCGGTGGGGCGTTTCAAAATAAAACCAGAGCAGGTGGAGTGCTACGGTTCAGTTTTAAAGGTGCTTGTACTTTACTTGAGTATTGCTGGTTCATGCTGTTTTGTATCTCTACTCCACTACGTTTTTTTTAGAGAGGAACAAACATTTTACTCCTCTATAATTAAACAATAATTGAATACAGCTGTAGTTACTAGGCCTATTTTATACAGAGTACAAAACATATGTACATATATCACCTTGATGATGTGTTAGTTAAGATAAGATAAGATATTCCTCTTAATAGTCCCACAATGGGGAAATTCCAATCTTACAGCAGCAAGTGGATAGAGAAAAAAAAGACAGTATAAGAACAGTATGAAAAAATAATAATATAATATAATATTAACACTGTACAAGAGAGAGAAAAAACCCACTGATGATCCTGATTGAACAGATCCATACAGGAATATGCACCATGTGGGCTTCAATAAATAAATAAAAGACACAGAGCTCATCCACAAAATAGGACATTATGATAAAGGAATTATGTAGAACCTGTTCAAAAGCCACTGAATATATTACCTTGAGGGGATAGTGTTAAAAAAAACAGACATATATTACATATTTAAATTATTATTTTGACCATTATGCAAAGGCAAATTCCTTGTGTGTGGAAATCTACTTTTTTTTTTACTTGTGCTTTTAGCTTGAGAAACACAATACTTAATTTCCGGCGTTATTGTGGTTTGCTTAACACAACTACTTTACACTCAGGAATGACAACATTGAGAAAACAAACAGTTAAACAGTGTCACCTACAGGCAGAAAGGCAGGACATGCCTATTATCCAAACATGCTAATTTTACCGCCAGAAAAATAAATGAATAGATTAAGAACTAGGAATGCTAAATATAATATTATAATTATGACCATGTTAAAATTATGATACAGTAATTATACAATATAAATTAATAATAAATGAATTACAAATGACAAGTATGAGATAATACCTAAGAATTATGAGATACTTATTTTCATTAACAAATGGTTTGAAGTTAATGTAGTCTATGGTTTAGTTTTACCCGTTGTCAAAATCCATACAGACGCATTGCACCACTTATGTTATGTCCCGAGTCGACCTACCTGCTTGGAGCTGATGGTGCGCAGACGAACAACAACCAGAGAGGTTGTGATAAATTAGAAGGAATTAGTGCAATATATATATATATATATAAAGTTAAGATGAGATGCAACAACAAAACGCATTTTCAGTGGCCAATGTTGTCTTTTTGGCTTTATATGAATGAAACCAATAAACACATGCACAAGTTTTGTCCACAAGGTGTCAGCAAAACACAATTTAAAAGGAGCTGCAGAATGCACTGTGGATATGTCAAAGCGGAAGGAAATATTGTGTTATCTATGCGAGTTTGAGTGCTGTAAATATTCTGTATGAATGTCCAGCTTCACATATGATGAGATTATTATGTGAATCATCATAATCATTTATTTCCCTTGAGGCACCACACTGAGGTAATGCCAATTCAAAGGCATTGACGTTTTTAACTACATAACAATGCACTCTAGATAGATAGATAGATACGATAAAAGAATAGATCAGATATGATAGATAGATTAGATAGATAGTATAAGATAGATAGATAGATATAGATAGATAGATAGATACTTTATTATCGCCGAAGGGAAATTACAAGCATCCAGTAGGCATACAAAATAAGACATACATTAAACTAAAAATTAAAACCCTGACCTTAAGTAAGCAGAATCAAAAATACAGATAAAAGATAAGATATAAAGTATTATGTTGTATATAAGATAAGATTAACAGTATAAAATTAAAATGATGCGCGCCATCTGGTAAAAAATAAACGATATTCCACGTGTTTTTATGAATAAGTGTTATATATTAACACAAAATAACTCAGATTAGGGGACAACATTGGAGGTTGGATTCATTGCTCTTGCCTCCAGTCAAACTGTGGGGCTTGGGAACCCCCTGAAACCCTCTCAAGGGCCTCCGAAAGTCCCCGCTGCCCACTTTGAGCCACCACCACCACCGCCTTGATGAAAAGATCCTTTCTGCTGTAAAAGCTGACAGCACAGTCATCTAACTTAAGGCCCGCCTCCTCAAAAATACCAACCACTCAAACTAAACCCCCGCAGACTTCCAACCAATCACAGACGAGCCTCTCCTCACCCCTCGTCCAATCAGTTTCGAGTATCGGCTCCTCCTTTCACAGCCCCCATTTCTGACCAATCAGGGACGAGGCCGCCTGCGCAGAGGGCTGGGCGCGAGAATCGGCGGGATGGACAAAAAATCACAACGCCAAGTAAAAGTAGAGACATGAGACAGAAACAGCCGGGACAGAGAGGAACAAAAGTAACGCGTTAGTCTCTTCCACCTAATATCTGGGGGGTTATGTTCCGATATTGCCTTTTTAGAAACGAGCAACAGAAGACGACGCAGTGAAGGTTTTTTTTTTTTTTTTTTGGAAAGATGTTATCGACATTGAACGCGGCGTTTACGCAGAGAGCGTAATGTTATGGACTGTACATTAAGTTAGCTCACTGGCTAGCCGGATAGTGCTGGCTAGATGCTGCCGCGTCTCAAAGCGATGACTGACAGCGATTTCTATGGATAAACTTCAATTAATGTGGGATTTTTATAAAGCTGCCCAACACAGGTTCGTCTTTGAAAAGGTTCAATCATCCTACCGACTGTCATGGACAACGTGAAACCACGCAGGTGAGTGCCAGCAGTAATAATAACACGGTGCTGTTTCATTATACATAGTCTGCCACAGTCACCAGTGCTCCTATGCATCTCTGGTGAATAAATAAATACATAAATTAAGATAGTTTTGGTATCAGTGTCCGGATAATACAGTGTGCACCTGCCACAGTCATACTGTAACAAGGGCCACTTACGAGACAAATAGATGCATTTTATTTGAATGGTTAGAAACATATGTAGCCTTAAAAACATGTATATCATTGTGCAACACATGCATGACACTTTGAATTAAGATTATTGCTTGTTACTGCCGAAACATGTATATTAAACATGGGTTGCACTGTTGTTTTCTTAATATTTGTTGGAACAATGCATAATATTTTTGCCATGCACGTTGTCAAACAGCGGTTATCCAACAGGAGCATCCCTGGAAACATTTTATTTAAACGTGACAAGTCAGTCAAATTAATTGTGATAAATAAAACACTTCAGATTGTGTTTTCTGTGAATAAAAACAACACAAAATGTGAAAGAACTACATCAAATCAAATGTTTTGTATGTTTTTTTACATTAAAATCTGCATCACCTGGTCTTCTACACTGTGTTATTGCCAAGAGGGGGGAAAGCCAATGGGGAAAAGTACCTAAGAGTTCCTAAAGCCTTTCTTTGTTATTCAAAAAAATCTAGTGTAAGTAAAAGTACATGATATAGGTTTATGATTAGGCTTAATAAGTTATATTGACCTGTTAAATTATAGTGACCAAGGTAGCATCATTAATTATTAATATGCAACAGCCAGGTGCACAACAACAAGGACACCTGCAGTCAAGTGTTATGATTATTCATATTAAAAACACACTATGGCGCCTGCAATTAAAAGTGAATTAATTTATTAGTTGATCAAAATAATAGTAATTGCCAAATATGTAGATAACCAATAAAAAAAAAATTAATATAGTTAAAACTTGCCAAACATTTTTCAGTTCCAGCTTCTTAGATGTGGGGATTTGCAGCTATTCCCAGTTATAGCTCACTGTAAAAGGAATATTTGGGTTTTGAGTGGACAAAATAAGCTATTTGATGTCAATCTGATGTAAGGTGTAACATTGGTCAGTGGAAAATTGTGCATTTTCACTATTTTATGGCATTTCATAGACTACAGTAAGCATTTTATTGACAAAACACTGATAATATATGAGTATATATGAGAAAATATGTGTTAGTTGCAGCTTTAGTGATGCCTGCATTAAGCTTCAGTGTCTCTACCCACCACATACCCCTCCTTATCTGGAGAGAGATCAGGTCTTGACCCTGGGGAAGGCAAATCCTGCATTTTACAATATCCTATTAACTGTTTATGACTGATGAATTATTATTTATGCTGCAAAATATGAAAATAAATGTTTTTATTAAAAATTATAAAGTTATTAAGTGAGTAAATAATGTGCTAAACAAAATGCCAAGAGGTTATATAAGTCTGCTTGTTTTTTGAAACCTTTTGAAAAACTGGACCGTTAGAGCTTTGCCATTCCCCTGACCACACCCCAGCACACCACCTCCTCCATCTCAATCTCACACACACACACACACACTCACACACCTCTGGAGGTGAAAGAGCCTGTTGATGTGGGATGGCCTCTTTCCTCCAGCCCCCTCACTCCCCTCCTTCCTGTTCAGCAATAGGTCCAGACTCACTCACTTCCCCACTTCTCTTTGCTCTGGTGAGGTAATCAGGCCCCACCAAAATTCAATTGCCATGTTCAAGTTTCCACACTGAAGAAGACCTTTCATACACAGTCTGATACGAGACCTAGAGAAAGCACTGCTTTCCCCTTGTGTGTGTGTAAGGTTAAGTGTGTGCACGAGAAAGGTCTGTTGTGTAGGAAGAGCTCTTAGGAGTGGATAACTTCATTTCTCCTCCATTTATTAAACTCTTCTCCACTACCACAAAGAAAGCGTTGCCCAGCAGCATGTTTTATGGGAACACTGAAGTGCGGTGCTACCTGCCAACTTCTTGTGTCAGTAGAGAGGAATTTTGTGTTCTTGTATGCAGTCATGTATAATTACAAGTTGTTTCTTTCTTTTATTTTTATTCTGACAAAGTTTGTCTATAACTGGTCCTTTAAATATCTAAAGTGAAAGTTCAGTTGTCTCATACTGAGACATAACAACTGAACTTTCACTTTAGATAGAGAACCTGTTTCTATACAATCCATTATTATATATTATGTAATTATCTGATTGTTTAATTACATATTCCTTTATTTAGTTTTGAATCACTTTTAGACTTGAAACAATAACTGAAAGCCTCTTGTAAGTGCCATCCATGTTTTTGTGTTTCTTTTTATTTACTTGTCTTGTTTGTTAACAAATTAATTTGAAAAATATACTTAAAGCTGAGTCTGTGTAATAGTTACCACAACAGCTTGAACAATGGCAGTATAGTACATATAGTAGTAGTAGTACAAGTAGAGAGTTTTGCATGTTTGCATTTGCAAATATATTTATGACTAATAGGGATACAGTTTTACTAAGTATCAGTACCTGAGGTACTAATATCTGTATTAGCCTTGCAGTTTC